TAAACCCTATGCCCTAAACCCTAGCCCTAAACCCTAGCCCTAAACCCCACGGGTGTCAGTTGTACGACAGTTTTGGGCTGGGCGTGGGCTTTCCCCTAAACCCTAAACCCTAAACCCTAAACCCTAAACCCTAAACCCTAAACCCTAAACCCTAAACCCTAAACCCTAAACCCTGCTTGACTCAGCCTCCCTCCCCCCAGCAGAGCGCTAAACCAGCAAAACTGCCTCGTGCGCAACTGTGAGGTTCACAAACACGTCGATGTTCGGTAGCTCGCCATTGGCCACGCTGCTGGCCTAAGCTCCAGTTAGGGTTTAGGGCTTCGGGTTCAGGGCCTGGAGTGGGCGTGGGTGGCAGGCATGTGGGGATTCCGAAAAACCTAAGTATACAGTAGTAAGAATATTTAACATCAATAATATCTACTTCTATTTTGTGCTTTTGGGGGAGTAGTAGGACGTTCCTTAATGCGAAGTGCTAGGCAAAGTGCACAACGCTAAGCCGTCTAAATCATAAATCCCAGCCAAATCTCAGCCAAGTCATGTCATGGAGGGGCGGACCGGAGTATTAGAGGTTTCGTGGTTCGGCTTCAGGGCTTTGGGGCTCCGAGCTGAATTTCAGGGCTTGGGGGTTTAGGGTTTAGGGTTTGGGGTTTGGGGTTTTGGGGTTTGGGGTTTACCTGTCCATATCAAGGGCCATTAGACATAAAGGAAAGGTATCTAGAGCCCCTACCCTAAACCTAAAGCCTAAAGGGGCCTTCGTCCTTGAACACTGAAACCCTAAATGCTAAAACCTCTACCGAAACCCTACACCCGAGACCCAGGGTAGCCACGTGGTTCCTTTGTATGGCCCTCAAAGCGGACCCGATAAAACATGTTTCCACCATAATCCATCTTTAATTACTGATATTACAAGTTGAATAACTTCTTTGGAATTACTTTGAAATCCATAATGTATTGGTGTTTTATCCTATAAAAAGGTGTATCATATATGTATTGTATGTAAACTATATACCCTGGAGAACCCAAGGGCCCATACATCAGAACCCTAGAGGTAAAGGACCATATGAAGGGCCCATGCAACCACCCTTAGGGGCGTGCAAAGCCTGCCTCCTAAGCAAGACGAAGCGTTGAACAAAAGAAGGGTTTTGCGGCTGAGGGGTTCTTATCGGGTGCGTTAACCCTACGCCCACAAGCTTCAAGCCTAAACTCTGACGCCTAAACATTTTGAGGTGTGCACATACGTCTCAGAGACGTCTCCCCACAGAGTATGCTACATCACAGCAGGGGTCTATCAAGAGGGCTGTTGGTTCTTGATTTGGACAGGGGTTGTGGGCTTCGACTTACTCTAAAATCTGAACCCGAAGCACCAAATACTGAACCCCAACCCTAGCGCCTCAACACTCAACCCTGAACCCTTAACTAAGGCTTGAGCTTAGGGTTTAGGGTTGAGGGTTTAGGACTTAGTCTCGGGTTTAGGGTTTAAGTGTTGACAAGGCTTTTGTAGGTGCATGGGTACTTCTGTGTAGGCTTATAAGCAGGGTAAGTATGACCTTATTTCGGGTACTTATAGCCCCACGTAATACGTACATTCTTATGAAGCTCTAATCCCAAGAGTAACCTAGGAAAAAATAACCTATCTGAAAAAAGGGACTAAGGGCCTGCTTTGGGTTCTAGACCTTCGCGTAGGTTTAGGGTTTAGGGTTTAGGGTTTCGGGTTTAGGGGTTAAGGTTTAGGGTTTAGGGGTTTAGGGCCAATAGGGCCTGGGATGTTGAGGGTGTAGGGATTTTGGTCTACCATGCTGTTCGAAAGCTTCCAGGGTGTTGTTAAAACCCTACAAGCCCTAAACCCTAAACCCTAAACCGTACACCCTAACTACACGTCTCGGCCCTGCCTGCATGCTCGCTGGGTCTGTCGGCGGCAGCGGCAGCACCTCAGAACGCACGCCATCACCGATATGTGCTAGGTTCCTTAGGGTCTCTTATGCGGTACCGCAGAATACGTGGGCCCACGCTTTTGGGGTAGGCCCTCAACCCTAAACCTTAAACAATGCGGACCTCATGGTCCCTTACCTGGTACCTGAAATGCACACCCCACCCAAAAGCACGCAACCCGCAACTTGAAACTCGATGCCAAAACACAAGCCCCGATCCCACAAGTCCTAAACCTAAACCCTAAATCTAAACCCTAAATCCCTCAACCCTCAACCCTAAACCCAAAGCCTGTATCAAACCCCTCAGCACTGCATCTGGGGCTGCTTCTGTCCAGATTTCTGCATTCAGCTGTGGGACGGCCGACGACCAAACGGCCTCCATTGAAAGGGATTAGGGTTTAGGGTTTAGGGTTTAGGGTTTAGGGTTTAGGGTTTAGGGTTTAGGGTTTAGGGTTTAGGGCGTCGCCTTTGACCGTGAGCCCACGAGCACCCGCGAGCACTGACACCATGAGCTCGGACTGGATTCTCGGGACCGCTCCCCGCTAAACCCTTGACCCAATTCTCTCAGGGTAGTTACACCCTAAACCCTAAACCCTAAACCCTAAGTTACATTGTCCCTTAGTATGGGCCCTTAAAAGGGGACCCCTTGTATACCCCTAAACCCTAAACCCTAAACCCTAAACCCTAAACCCTAAACCCCAAACCCCAAACCCTAAACCCTAAACCCTAAACCCTAAACCCTTTCCCTATACAACCCAGGAACCCAGACATCAGAACCTTGTCAAGTTAAGGGGCCATCTTAAGGGCACACACAACTACCTTAAAGCAATTCCTAAAGCCTAAACCCTAAACCCTAAACCCTAAACCCTGAACCCTAAACCCTAAACCCTAAACCAGCCTGGCACATGCCGCTGCTTTGCAGGTGCTCGTAAAGGATGCCAGTGGCTTGGTGCCTTGGGCGTTCCCGTTTTAGGGTTTCGGGTTTAGGGTTTGAATGGTTTTGTTTTAGTTGTTATTTCTTTCTTTTCTTTTTTAAAGGGTTTAGGTTTCAGATGCTTAGAGGGTTTAGGGTTTCGGGCTGTTCGAAAATGTCGGGTTTAGGAAGTAAACGTTGTCAGCAACATTCTGCTGCGGCTTGATCAAGATGGGTCCCTTGCTGGTCTGCATGTGTGTTCGAGCTGAAGATTAGGCCTTCGGGCTTGGGGTGTAGATGCCGAAACCATAAACTCTAAACCCTAAACCCTAAACCCGGCTGCCAACTACAAAAACACAAGCGCAAGGAAAGGGAAACTTGAAACTTGGGCCTTGGAAGCGTGAAAGGGGGGGCGGGTGAAGGGGATCGTATCACCACCCGAGTTCTACCCGACCCCTATCGTCCAAACAAAGGCTGTAAATCTTGACCTCGAAACTTCGGGTTGAGGATTTAGGGTCTGAGGTCCATGCACCAGGTTGCGACGTCAAGGGTTCGGAGTCTTGGCGTTTGCAGTTAAGATGTTTCAGCGAATTAGCCCCAACACCCTAACCCGAAAAACCCCAAGGACATAAGGTTTAGGGATTCAACTTAAGCCGAGAAGTCCCAAAGCCATAGGGACGCCAGGGGCGGCACCAGATGTAAAGGTAGCCACTCTCCGAGTGCAGGTAGTAGCCCTGCTAATCCCAGGGCTGAGGGCTCGGGGCGGCCATGAGATTTTGGTTTTCTCAGGCTTGGTGCTTAGCTTTGTTCGGAGGTTGATAAGGGATGCTATAATTAACTAACAAGGCGAAGTGCTGGGCGTACCAGAAACCCGACCCACCCCTGAACCCCAACCCCCCCCCCCCAAGAAAGTAAACACTGAACCCTAAACACTAAACCCTAAACCCTAGACCCTAAGCCCTAAACCCTAAACCCTAAATGTAAACACTGAGCTCCTTCATGGTGGCGCCATCGATCTTCCAGCGATCCTTTGCGTCGCCAAAGGCCTTGAACATCAGCCTCAACAGGGCCGGGTTTAGGGTTTAGGGTTTGGGGTTTGGGGTTTGGGGTTTGGGGCACAGCGGCTCATAGCTTAGGGTTTAGTCTTCACCAAAACCCACTCTCAGGTCATGCGTTACGTCTTGTGTGCTTCTTGGGAGCCACATGTTCCTTTTAAGACACTCTACCAACCATAACGACCCAGTATAGGGAAGGGACCCCTGCGCCAAAGACAGCAGCAGAAATCACCTGACTTTCACTCTGCAAAGATACTTACCCGAAACCCTATAAACCCTAAACCCTAAACCCTGGCAAGCAACTCATGGGCAGTTCTCCTATTTATGGGGATCCCTTTTTCCAGGATCCTGGGTCCTAGATATAGCATGGCACCCTTTAAAAGAAGGACCCTTCAAGGGACCGCAATTCAGAGCACCACCCACACAAACGTTCTCTTGCTGGTGCCACAAGAACACTAGGCTGCCCTCTAACCTGGGCTTAAAAAGGGTGCCCTTTTCTGCCTAAAGGGGTTTATAAGGGAACCTAAACCCCCAAAAAAGGAAATAAGGGCACTACTGGGCATCCTAGAAGAGGGGCTAGATTTAGGGTTTAGGGTTTAGGGTTTAGGGTTTAGGGTTTCGGGTTTAGGGTTTAGGGACCCCAGCGGCAGAGTTCTCATGGGCCTTCCATGGAGAAAGCGTGCCATGTTCAAGACAAGAACCATGATGCACGGAGCCGGAGGCTCCGAGTAAAGGTTCCCCTAAACCCTAAACCCTAAACCCAAAACCCTAAACCCTAAACCCTAAACCCTGAACCCCGAACCCTAAACCCTAAACCCTAAACCCTAAACCCTAAACCCTAAACCCTAAACCCTAAACCCTAAACCTCTGGAAAAGCACATGGGGACCTCAGCTCCTGCGTGCTGGGCGGCTGCACTTCGATGGCCTCCATCATAGGGCTTTGGGGGTCTAGAGGTTTAGGGTTTAGGGCTAGGGTTTAGGGTTTAGGGTTTAGGGTTTAGGGTTTAGGGTTTAGGGTTTAGGGTTTAGGGTTTAGGGTTTAGGGTTTAGGGTTCAGGGTATAGGGTTTCGAGTTTAGGGGTTTAGGGGTTTAGGGGTTTAGGGGTTTAGGGGTTTAGGGGTTTAGGGGTTTAGGGGTTTAGGGGTTTAGGGGTTTAGGGGTTTAGGGGTTTAGTTAGGGCTTCGGATTTAGAGGGTCGAGGGTTTTGGGGTGTGGGCTTTAGGCTTCACGGTTTAGGGTTGAAGCAGTTCAGGGGTCTAGGGTTTATGGGCTTAGGAGGGGTAGGGTTGTTGGGGCTCAGGGGTTTAGGGTTTATGGGCTTGGGAGGCTTAGGGTTTTGGGGCTTGGGGGCTTAGGGTTTGTGGGTTTAGGAGGCGTAACGTTTTTGGGGCTCAGGGGTTTAGGGTTTATGGGTTTGGTTTTCCTTAAGGTTTTGGGGCTTAGGGGTTTAGGGTTGATGTGGGCTTAGGAGGCTTATGGTTTGGCGCTTAGGGGTTTAGGGTTTATGGGCTTAGGAGGCTTCGGGTTTAAGGTTTAGGTTTGGGGTTTTGGAGGGTTTAGGAATAAGTCGGATACAGGGCTTTGGCGGGTGAAGCCCTAAACCCGAAGCCCTGGTGCTGCCGAACGGGTCTTCGGGTCTTCGGGTCTTCGGGTTTAGGGTTGCTTCTGGATGGCCGTTGCGGTTTGAAGGGAGATATAGCTAGCGAAGCCCTCCTAGTGTCCAATTGAAGTAGCAAGGCCTTGGGTTAGGGTTCAGGGTTTAGGGGGATTGGGGTTTAGGGGTTAAGTTTTAGGGTTCAGGGTGCCTGAAAGTTGCGGTCTTCGGGTTCTGTTGACCAGGGTGTAAATCTCATATGTTGGGATATCGGGGTAAGGCTTCACAAGGGACACTTATAAAACAGTCACGGGTCCATGTTGCGGGAAAAGTCACGGGTCCATGTTGCGGGGGTGGGGTGTGGTAGCCAAAAGCATGGCATTCAAGATTTTCAGGGAGTTTAGGGACGGGCTTTGTGGCTTGGGACTTTCAGGGCACCCTACACCCGCCTGCTGCTCCGCCGGGGCGAACATCTCGTCTGCTTGCGCCATGTTTACCGGCAGGAGGTCTGACTCACGGGTGAGGGTGCTGCTGAAGCTTCCCAGCTTTATGATCTGAGGTGGAGGAGGCTTAGGGTTAAGGGTTCAGCAAATGTGGGGCTCTAGAGTTTCAGAGCTTCGCGTCATCGGATTTGCTGGTCGGTCGCCTTCTGGCGACTGCAACAATGCCCAATTCTGCGTGATCTTGCCTGGCAGGCTAGAGTTGTAGTTCTTGTTTCAGTCTATACACCTCAAACCGAAACTGCATCATGGCATTGTCACCTCCCCTGCCAAGTCCCTCTTAGCTTAAGATCAGAGTCGCACGAATAGGGTTTGGGGTTTAGGGCTTAGCGTTTAGGGTTTAGGGTTTAGGGTGTAGGGTTTAGGGGATTGAGAGTTTAGCCATGAGGGTGAAGTCTCGCTGCCAATTCATGGGCCAATGGTTGCGGCTCTCATGCCAATCAAGAAGGCAACTTGAGAAGATGTCCATGGCATGCGGCCATGCAAAACCCTAAATGCTAAAGCCCTATTTCCCCTAAAGCTCTAAATCCTACAGCCCTAAATCGAAGCCTTAAATCCCCTAAAGCCTTACATCCCCTGAAGCCCTAAGCCTTACACCCCCTGAAGCCCTAAATCGCCTGAAGCCCGAGGATCCTAAACCCTAAAGCCCGAAATATCCTTCATCTATGCTACCCGCGGATCCCTGTAGGGCTCTCTGGGTAGGAGTCACCCAATCAGGGATGCTTAGGGCTTAGGGCCTAGGGACTAGGCTTAGGATTCAGGTAGGGCTGTGAAGAGAACATTGCAGTTTTGAGATTGAGGGCTTAGGGTCCAAAATTTGGGCCGGACATGCCGACATTCAACCGGTCGGATCTGGGGTTTAGGGTCTAGGGTTTAGGGTTTGGGGTTTACTTACTGTTGGCTAGAAGGGAAGGTTTGAATTAGGGCCCCATAATGCATATATATATATATACGCTTTAAGGGATTGTATAGGGTACCATTCCCCCATTCCCTACTAACCAACTGTAAGTTTCGGGTTTGAAGGGAGGGAAACTCGAACCATGCCGTCGACATTATCCAAGATGCCACCCAGCCTAAACCCTCAGCCCCCAGCCTTACGTCCTAAACCCTAAGCCCTCAACCCCCCCCCCCCCAAAAAAAAAAAAAAAACAACAACACCCTACAACCTGAACCCCAAACTCCAAACCCTTGCAAACCCCAAACCCTAAACCCTAAACCCAAAAGCAGACTCGTAGCTTCTGCTGGGGGCCTACCTAGAACTCTCTCCGTTCCGTTCGCCCTTTCTTCCGCGACTCCTCGTCCGCCACGAAGCTTGGGATCCCTTCACGGGTTTAGGGTTTAGGGTTTAGGGTTTAAGGTTTAGGGCCAAGGGTTTAGGGTTCAGGGTTGAGGATAATCTTCAGGGGCCTAGATCAGGGGGCGTAAAGCGCATACTGTGGCTGCTTAAGAATATGGAGGATGGCTGAAGTGAACGAGGCCTGGGTGATCGAAACTAGCTTGGGGAACAACCCTAAACCCTAAACCCTAAACCCTAAACCCTAAACCCTAAACCCTAAACCCTAAACCCCTAAACCCTAAGACTTCGCTCAGCACTTCGGGGTTGATCCCCTTCGATATCTAAAGAAATTAGGCGCACATTCAATGACAACAACTCAAGTATTTCAACTTGTGAACCCGAAACCCAACATCTTCTTAGGGTTTAGGGTTTAGGGTTTAGGGTTTAGGGTTTAGGGTTTAGGGTTTAGGGTTTAGGGTTTAGGGTTTAGGGTTTAGGGTTTCTTGAGGATTGAACGGTCTCAGGAGGACATCCCTCGACGAAGGACTTGGAAGGAACATGAGCGCCACAGCTCTTTTGAAGTGAGAGTCGCCGCTGGACCACTGAAACCCGCAACCCGAAACTCGAAAACCAAACATTGGTTTAGGGTTTAGGGTTTAGGGTTTAGGGTTTAGGGACATCAAACCTTGGTTTAGGGTTAAGGGTTCCAAGTTTAAACCAGATAAACTACGGTGCCGGTGCAGCCCGCAACAGAGGCGGCTGGCCCATCGCGTTCACGCTGGCCTGCTCGCAGGGTCGAAGACTGTAGGGTGTAGCGTTTAGGGTTTAGGGCTCTTCGGCTCAAGACATGATGTGTTCCAAAAGGACACCCCATGTTGTACAAGTATAGCAACCCTATATACACTTCCCTAAACCCTAAACCCTAAACCCTCCCTACACCCTAAACCCCAAACCCTAAACCCTAAACCCACTCTATGTTTTACATCCTACCTTCTATAGGGTTACGGGTGGTTGGAGAGGTGACTATAAGTCACCGGGCGGTACGCCCTTTCGTCCTGTGACGAAAACTCAGTGGAGGAGAAAAGACTACCCTACGAGTAACGTCACTTAGGGCCGAGAGGGGTTTAGGGTTTAGGGTTTAGGGTTTAGGGTTTAGGGTTTAGGGTTTAGGGTTTAGGGTTGATTGTTGAGGGCTTAGGGTTTCCTTGGACCCCTGAGGTTGTACCCTTGGGTTTTGGCAAACTTTCTCAAGGATCCCCTAAGGGCTCTAGGGGCCATATCCGGAGTATAACTAAAGGGTACCCCTTAAACCCTAAACCCTAAACCCTAAACCCTAAACCCTGAACCCTAAACCCTAAACCCTAAACCCTTAGGGGTACATCCTTAGGTGCAAGTTTGACTAAACCCGAAACCCCAACTGAGCACTGCGAAGGCTACTGCGAAGCCTTGAGGCTGCGAGCCCCACGCTAGGTTTAGGGTTTAGGGTTCAGGGTTTAGGGTTTAGGGTTTAGGGTTTCGGGTTTAGGGTTTACGGTTTTAGGGTTTAGGGGTTAGGGTTTAGGGTTTAGGACCTACAGCCGAAAGCCCTTAACCCTCACTGTCATCAGCAGTCCCTCACCCTAAACCCTCAACCCTACACCCTTAGCCCTAAACCCTAAACTCTGAACCCTCGGCCCTAAACCCTAAACCCTAAACCCTAAACCCTAAACCCTAAACCCTAAACCCTAAACCCTAAACCCTAAACCCTAAACCCTAAACCTTCGGCCTCTTTGGCCTCAGGCGGGGGCTCCGTGGCGTCCGCACCCGGCGCAGGATCTTCCGCGCCTGCTCGTGCAGCTTGCACCTTGTCTTGGGTTTAGGGTTTAGGGTTTAGGGTTTAGGGTTTAGGGTTTAGGGTTTAGGGTTTAGGGTTTAGGGTTTAGGGTTTAGTGTTTAGGGTTTATTGTTTAGGATTTGGGTTTAGGGCTGCACCTTTGTGGGGCACCAGGGAGCCTTTCAATTCCTAGAGGACATCAACGCTTGAAGGTGTGCACACACACACACACACACACACACGCAAACACAGACTCAAAAGCCCCCTAAACCTGCACACCCAAAACACAAACACACACACACACACACACACACACACCCACCCACCCACCCACCCACCCACCCACCCACCCACCCAGACACCCACCCACCCACCCGCCCACCCACCCACCCACCCACGCACGCACGCACGCACGCACGCACGCACACACACACACACATACCCAGTCGAAGCTGGTTGGGAAAATTCCTCGAAGTTCGCAGGTACGCCATTGCACGTCTGCAATGGTATCACAAGAGATATGCAGCGTCTTCATTGGGTGCTGACTGCAAATCTCTCCAGCACCCCCCTGCTTGACATAACATCTCGGCTTTCTTTTGGGGAATCAGATAAATCAGATCACTTCAGTGCGACGAATCAATGCACAGCTTTCAGGCGGATCAATGAGTGTTCAGCCATAACTTCACATCTTAGATACAGACGGTCCACACACACGTACCCGGTCGAAGCCGGTTGTGTGTTGTTATCTTGATGTTGAGGATGGAGAAGGAAGGGGGGGGAGGTGGGGCGGTTGAGAAGTTCATAGATCGAAGATCTCTATGAACCAGGCAGCGAAGCTGAATTCATGTGACAAACAATACTACGTAGATAGCTTACGACATGTTCTGATAGCGCAAGGTGAGCTCAGAAGAAAGCTCAGGGTGAATTCAGCCGGAAGCTCAGGGTGAATTCAGTCCTGTTCTTATCTGTAAGATTTAAAGGTCAACTTCTAACGCTCCCTTCAAAGCGTTTTAGTCGACTGAGAAAGCGAACACACTGCACCAAGGCTCCAGCTTACTCAGTCTTTGATCGATGGTGTCAATATCGTTACCAATAAGATACGCCACTGCGATGCTACACGGCAGGCATGAAACGTTGAGAGTTTTCTGTATGGCCAAAATCTGCTGGGGTGAAACATCATGAGTCTCCTAACGAGGCTCTAGAGAAGCCTGCTTGCAAGAACAACTGCTTCAACTGTTCAAGTTGTTGAACTCTCATTTCTGGTGGCTGTACATGCCGGAGAATGCTGTGTCTTTTGGAGTGATACGATGCCAGTTTTTGGGAGGAACTACCGGCACTATTGTGAAGTCGAATCTTCCAAGGTTCATCTCGAAGAAGAAGGAGGATCTTGGACTGTTGGGGGATCACATCAAACCCCAGGAATTCTTGCTCGGCATCTTGGGAATGTACATGTTCTAGTTCAACAGGACGGGCATAAAAGTCGTTCGACAGGAATTGCTTCAAGAAGGCTCGATGTTCATGCTTGACATCCAAAATGACAAGACGATTGTCTACATAACGGGTACAAAAGAGATCAGCTCCGATTCTTTGAAGATCAGCTCTATGTAGTTCCACAAACCGCTGTTCTTCCAATGACACTGTAGCGTTGGCCAGCATAGGGGAAATCTGGTTTCCTATGGTTGCTCCGCGGCGCTGTCGAAAAATACACTGCATCACGGAGAACACACTGCACTCGCAACTGAGATGACAAATAGCTCGGACATCTTGTAGATGTATCAGATAAGGTCTTTGGGCTGCTTTTCGCGGTCTGCCTCTCCAGATTCGGAGGTTTACATCTTTCTCCTTGAGGAGCACGGAGAACACAACATCAGCCAATTGTAATGCGTGACGATAACAATACCGACTGATGATGGCATCAATAGACTGCAAAATCCGATCTACGGGAATGCTCGTGAAAAACCCAACCAAGTCTTGATTAAAACTCAATGCCTCGAAGTCTTCTGGCGCTTGATGTAGGAATGCAGAAAGCTTCTGAAGCATGACTGGTAAGGTGTCCAATCCAAATGAGTCAGGACATACGTCACGAACTAGAAGATCGATAACGATGGCAGTAGCTTTGAACAATCGCGCGTACAGGAAATACTTGTAGCTGATAATGGGCCTCGCAGCTTGAAAAGACTTCTTCTGCTTGAGGAGGATATATGCAATCGGTATGGAAGGTTCACTGGCTCTGAAACCCCATTTGTATCTAGTCAGGAGAGCCTTACGCGTGGTCATCTTCAAGAACACAGAGGCTTGAGAATACGTAAGGGGGAGTCGTTCATATACTTCAGGGTCTCCAAAAGTCTTTCTGTAGACTCGCCACACAAAAAGAGGACAAGATACATGAACATGGGCAACTGCATGATCTCGGCCATGAATGAAGAATCCATCTAGGATTTTACGAAGAAAGGTTACATCCTTGAATTTGAGGGCGTCTCGGGACTCCAGCGAATGATCATTCCATTGTGACTGTACAAACGCAGCCCAATTGTCTTTGGTGACATCGAAGAGTCCATAATGTCGTAGCCACTGTTGTACGGCTTTCCAGGTGTGATCAATATAAAATTGTCGTTTAGGGTATACCTGGGAATCAGCAGACTGTTGCAAGATATTCTGTATTCGGCGTGACACTGCAAGAAGATGAGCCGGGGATGCAACGTGTCCATCTACAACTCGCAATTGAGGATGTTGTTGCTTCCATTGTTCACAATGACATACAGGAGGATGGTCCCAATCCCATTGTTGTTGTAGAATGATATTGTTGTAAAGCACAGATCGAAAGGACGGAAAAGTACCTGCAATCACTGTTTGCTGGGTAAGTGAAAAAGGGATGAGGTAGTCCTTGTACTGATGAATAAGGCTCTGTATCCATCCTCGCACTGATTTGCTGAAGTCCGTATTGGCAAGCATGGGGATCGTGAGGGGTTTGCCAAACTTTGGGACAGCTAGATTGCGAAAAGTGAGGCAACTGCGTAGGGTAGCTTTTACAGCAGTGCGAGGGGGATCATCCAATAGATTGCACATACGGTACAGGGCATACAGGTGAGCGGCGTGAAACTCGGAGCTTCTCAATCTTCGTTCCGTGTTGAATGCTGACATACCTCCGTGGGCTAATTTGACCAAAAGGGCCCAATTCTCTTGAGGACAGAGCCTGACTGGAATAACAACGAAGAATACCCAATGTGCGAAGTCGTCTGCGTGCCTTCCTCCATAAGCGTTTTCCAGGACAACTGTATTGACTATTGGACAAGGTCTGCTGCGCCGTACGGGTTGAAGAGGTTGGGTTGAGATTAGCGACCCAAGGCATGTTAAGGCCAGGTTTCCAGGAATGTGTGAGAGTACATTCAGCAGCCCGAACAGATACTTTGTCAGGAAATGTTCCTAGTCAAACAGGTCGGCATGGTTGTGAAAGTAGTGAACCATGATTTCCGTGTTAGTAAACTGTCCTTGTTGTAGAAGTCGGAGCTTGCGAATACGAGCATCATGTCGTTGATGAACTGTTTTAGTGGTGGATCCCACATAAAACTTCTTCGCATCAAGCAGGCTTCCGGTTTTTGTCCACTGTCTGCGCTGAAGTGCAGGTAGAACCACTACGTAGGTGGAACATGGAGTTGACATCATGTCTGCAATCTGTACCAAGGTCTTACCAACAAAATGACTGGTCCTTCTTCTCCAGGTGCGAATGGTGCACGAAACTCCAGGATGCGAATGTAGTGCCGTTGCACACAAGAAGACTTGTAGAACACGAGTACAAAATCTGAATCCTATAAGCTCATCAGAATGGAAACAGCAAGCATGAATAACGGCTAAGGCCGAAAGGAGAAGTCTCAAAATGTTCCAGTCGCAGGACTCTTGGCACGAAATGACGCCTAGTCAGATCTCTGCTACGAAAGTCGCAGCTGTCAAGATGCGAATGAGCTCAGGCGCTTTGATCTTTACAGCGAGACTGACAGGCAGTCCCAACTGAGCACACTTGTCACGAAGTGCTTGAAACGTAGCATCATCAATCGTGTTGCTGATCTTGTCTGCAAACGAAATCGCGGCATCCAACTGTTCGGCCTTGCCTTTGTCTTTGCCTTTGAGGCTCTTGAGCCAATTTTCAATGGCTGTCTTGGTAACTGAGGAAAGGCTGGCCTGGGCAAAAACACGATCTTTGGGGATGTTGGAAGGGTCAACAGCTTGTCGAGCAATGACTGCAGGATCAAATTGTGGAGCTGACGAAGAAACAATTGGCAAAGCGGTCTTCTGCTTCAAACGGACACGCTTCTCGGAAGGAGATGGTTCGGGCTCTTCCAAACCTCGCTTGGCGTTCTTAGCTTTCTCCATCTGGAGCTGTTCTTCCAGTTGGGCAATCTTCTGAAGATCGCTGGGCTGACTGTTTGAAGAGACAACAAATTGTTGGAGCTGCTGCACAAGAAACTTGGCTAACGCTTGGGCCTTGATGGCTTTGTGCTCATCAGAGTTTGAGGAAGCATTGGGGCAAGCTTCAGGGTGCAAACGAGCAAACTGAGTGGACAACTCATCTATGTCCCACTTATTCTCTCGCAAATGGGTGAGAATGCTAGACGAAAAAACACGTTCGTTGACCTTTCGCGCAACAACGAGTGAAACATACTGGCCATGCGAAAGCGCTCTCAAGTGATAGTTGTTCCAACCTCGCCAAAGCAGATCTACAAGTCGAATGCTGTCCATCTCTTTTCCGGCCAACTGGTATTTGGTAGACCAAGATGTTGGAGCAATTCGGCGTAACATGGTCTTACCATACACTTCCCGACTGTCAAGATGAGTTTTGGTACTCTTGAAGTCATCAGGTAGCCCATGAATCACTGGGAAGCCTGTAGGGGAACTGAAGTCTCGACCAGGCTCACGATGGACATTGGACTTAGTTGGGGTCGAACTCCACGAACTATCTTGCATGTTCCAACCCCCTGATTGCCATTGCGAACGATCCCAATCTCGAGAAGGCTGCCATTGGTCCCAAGATTTCCACGACATGATGAGGCTAGGCTGGAAAAATGCGGCTGGAACCAAACTGCTTCAAGAGTGCACATGGCTGCTATTTAGATATCAAAACACACGGAGGTGCAAGTTGGGTACTCCCGGGGTCTATGACTCTATGACGGTCACCACAAGACATAACAGAAGCAACAAAAGAAAGAAAACGATGCGGGCGCGCATCGTTTTCTTTCCTTTGCTGTTTACACAAGAAGGAGTCTCAACCTTCAGCCGCTCTACAACTGGTTTTCTGAGGATCTAGCGCGCGGCGACGCTTTACTGTTGCAGCAGAAGGGGTGAGACATGGAGGCCTAGTCACTTGCTTTGGGGCAGGTGCTGTTGTTTTGTGAGGATGAGAACTGCTCCTCGAACTAGACTGTGGAGGTGCTTTGATCGAGGACTTCTGCTCAATCGGTTCTTGCTGGAAAAACATGGGGCCCCTGCAGAACGTCGCCTAGCTTTTGGGAATAGAAGCTTGCTATGAGACTCTTCAATAAGTTGACGCTACATGTCTTCTTTGCTGACTTCAGTGACTTCATCATTCTCTTCCACGGTAGAGCGCGTGGCGGGGTCTAAATGTAAACCGAATAAGAAGAGGCCTAAACGTAGAACGAAATTTGTAAGCACTACATAGAATTAGTCACTGTCGGTGAGTGCAGAAACAGATATGGTGAACAGGTCAATTTCACATCGAGCTGCTGTCATCTGCTTTGTGGGTGAGACAAATGAACTGGATGGACGCTAAGTCGCATCTGAAACACCATCGACGATCTGTTGATTTGGATTTAACGATGCCGGACCTGGTGCAAATGAATTCCTCAAGCCAGGTACTGGATCTATCGGGAAGCACGTGGTTCCCTCTCAAAATCCCACCAACTGAAATCCCATAGGCGTTTTTGGGATGAGCATGACATTTGATTGCTAGTTGAGTTGCACATTGCCAAGGGTCGCCATCGCATTGTTGCCCACGGCCAAAGAAACCAGTCAAAGGCAGGTTAGGATCCAGCTGTATGCCATCACTAGTGGTGGGGAGTACCACACCGCAACGAAGAACACCTAGAACGGTATCCAATCCGCAAACATGGCACCAGGCAAAATTGTGACCAGTCAATGCTTCTTCTAGCGGGCCTGGAAAATTCTTTGTTCTTAGGAACCACATGTTGACACCATTCACATGAAAGCATCGAGCATGATCTACAAAGTCGTAGATCTGCAATCTATTGACAATGACTGCGTTGAGGAACACTGCCAAAGTCTGCTGATTCATCTTGGTAATCGGGCCGTTTTGTTGCAACAGATGAAAGAGACAGTCCCGCTGAACTCTGAAATTCTCCAACGTAACGTCATTGACCAGTCGATAAAGCGGCTCAATCCACTTTCTGCGCAGGACAATGGTCTTAACCTGGTCGAAAGGAACAGAAACCCAAATGGATGACGTCGGCTTGGTAGGAATCGTGCCCATCAAAGGTGCAGGACGCTCTACAGGCCATTGTTGTGCTTGGTTGATCTCATAGAACATGTCCGTGTACTGGCCTATTGCTGAGGTATCTCCAGGAAAAGGAATACGATTTTGCACCAGTTGCACTATGCTAAAAGCATCTGGGTGGGAAAAATCTGACGTCAGCGTCGGCCTTTGCGTACTCAAAGGTACTGATGGTCGTACGGGTGCCGGAGGATTGTCTTGTATCGCAGCGAGACTATTGGGAAATCTGCCAGGTACCATGTTAATTGGGTATTCTTGTCTGACAGGATACGACGAAGAACTGCTTGCCATAGGATTGTTCCAAGTGCCCGGGCGGTTCCAAGTACCAGGAGGCATACCCATTGAGAATGCATCAAGAACATTGGCCGTTCGTTTAGGGCTAGAACTGGAGCTACTGGATGACGAAGTTCTGCGTCTTCTTGTACGATGTCTTGTGCAGTCTCTTCTGCGGTGCCTGCTTCTGGATCGATGTCGTCCAGATAGGTGCACATGAATGTGTAAACGACGGTCCATTGCTGCAAATGTGTACGTACTAACTTGGGTGAACTCACGGCATGATATTACAGTATACCGTCCAGTGACTTAGGTTGTATTCAGAGGGATGTGATGTCGTTCAATGTCGTCCTGCGACTCAGGGTGCATTCAGAAGGACGCTCAAGATAAAGTCATGTAAGCTGTTCGACTAATCTCAATGTGATGACATCATCTTCAAATTGGGTACGTCATATGTCAAAACTCTAGAGGATGGTCTGAGGCTGAAGGTCTTTTCGTATCTGGGAGGTCTTGAGCCCTGGAAATCTGCTTCAGCATGCATTCAGAGCTTGAATTCTCTCACGCAGGCCGTGAGTCCGACAGCGCTTTGGCAGAATTACTGTCGGGAATCACACACATACCCAGTCGAAGCTGGTTGGG